TGGGATCCAAATCCCTCGTGTCAATATCCTTTTTGGAGTGTAACACAACTTCGCACATTCCTGGGATTTTTTTATAACATTCCTAGTGCTAGGGTCTTCTCATTGTGGATTCAATTGACTCTCCTTTCATAACTTCTTGTCTCCCGTGCGAGACCTACACATTTATCATTACTCTCCAGGCCATGCCTTTCATAAATCATGTGCCTATGTAACAAATTTACATCTTTGAATCATACACATGGTTCCCACACTATCCACATGTACTGGTTAAGCTTAGGTCTCATTTATCACGTCAATGCCTCTTTGGAGGTGGGTAATCACTTCTAGTACTCTTCTCATATAAAGTATGCTCATGGTACTATATACTTGTCTCATCTGGTCATACTATTCATTCAACATGATACATGTGCCATCCGTTTAATATTCAGGCCTTTACCCATTCGTCATGCCACATGACAACATTACTTGGAATAAACCAAAAGAGCATTTAAACTTACCTTGAACCTCAATACACGAGTTGGAGGAAAAACAGTTTCACAACTAGTTTCATTGCACGATTCAGAATATCAAAGAAGGGTATTATTGCTAAATGCCCATGTAGCATCCTAATTATAGATGTGGTCGACAACACACCGATAATAAGGACTCTACTAGACACGGCTCTGAGACATCCCAGGACACTATAAAACCTTAGGCTCTGATACCAAGTTTGTCACGTCCCAAACTCGGGGAGCGCGACCGGCGCTCAACCGAGAGAACCCGGCCGAGCAAGCCTATTAGATTTCCTTCTACCCAAACTCATCCATGAATAAAGAGGAGATGTACTCCATTAATCATTCACTGAAAAGATTTTATTAACAACTTCCTTTTCATTCCCATTAGTATTTTCATTCATAACTTCCAAAACATTATGAGTTTATAGAATTTATGAAAAACATGATTTCCAATTATCAACATTTTTAGTTTAATTCCCAACATTAACCATAACCCACAACCTGTTTATGGAGCCTCTAAGTGCAATAGAAAAGTAATATGGAAATGCCGGCAACAAGGCCCCGGCTATACCTCAAAACACAGTACATAAGAAACAAATACATGACCCCGAAATAAAGTGGGGCTCACCAAATCAGCTGAAAAGAGTGCACTGCTCTCATTGATCAATGTTGCCTACTATTGAACCACCTACATCCATTAAAGATGCAGCGCACCCGACAATAGGGACGTTAGTACTGTCGAATAGCACTAGTATGCATAGCTAAGTCATCTTTCAAAAATAGAATGCCCACATAAGAAAAGGCAACACATAGAAACAACAAGTCATAATCAACAATATCCAAATGTTTAGTTGAAACATAATAATTTTCAAAATACGAACTTCATATACAATTTTGGTTGGGAGATCATTAGCACTGATATACCACCATCTTTGTTAGCACGAAGTCCGATCATGCCCGATCGGCTAGGCCATCTCCCCACGAACAATGTGGTTTGACATGTGATGAGAAAGAAAGTTGTTACCAAGAGTAGTACCACCATATACGCATATGGCGTCTGATCTCCACCCGATCAGCTAGGCCTCCTTCCCACATATGCCGCGCGGATTGACTTTTCCAATCCACAAAGGTTCCAGTTTTATCCCAATTAAGGGGAATAATATCACAATTTCTCAAAGGTTCCAATTTCATCCCAAATAAGGGGAATAATCACAATCCACCCCTACACCGGCACGTGTAGTTTCAGGTGTGGGCCTTATGACCCACCCTTCCTCAGTTTTGCTAATGATGCTCCAAAAAATATTTTTTAATTTAATTTGCAAACAGAAATATCATAAATACCATTGTACTCACCTCAACATCTTTCACATTGTATAAATTTTCATTAGTATTCCAGTCATTCACAACGATGAGAATATTGA